AAAGTAAGGAATCATTAAATCAGAAGGCAATAAGGGAGGTTACTGGAAACTTCTTTTTGTGGAAAGACAGTCTTAAATCATCTGAAAGAGTTACTGTTGCTAGCTGTTTTTATACATTAGAAAGTTTTAGGGACATAAATATAATAGCACCTTGTAGATGTTTCTTTTCTTTAGAAGTGCAAAAATCTGTTACAACCTGAGAAAGCCATTATTGAAAAAAAAGAAACTAACACCGAAAAAGGAACCAAATCTCCAAAAGAAGCTTCAGAAAAAGTACATCAGGTCATCTTAGGAATCACTTGATCAGGTTAATTTTAGAAGCAGGTTATCAGCTGAAATTGACCCAGAATTCACATACAATAGACACCGCTATGTCTGAACCATACTCAGTAACAGATATCAATATTTAAGCATACAACAGCACATGAAGTAAGAAAAGGCAGTAAATAGTAGGCCAAAGACCTGGATTCATTTTCTGCTCAAGCGTTCTCTAACACAGAGTTTCTCAAACGGTGTTCCCAGTACCTGCAAATCAACATAACCTGTATTGTTAAGCAAATTCACAGTCCTACCCCAGTTAACTGAATCAGAAACTCTGGTGGGGGCTGGTGGGGAAAGCTCCAGCATTTTTTGTTTTAGCAAGCCCTCCAAGTGATTCTGATGCATGCTAAAGTTTGAGAATCAATTCTCTAACACATAGTATAACAACTGTTCTTCAAATTCAGGTCAGGATCAATCAACAATTGCAGCAGTGCTCTGGAAATTATAAAGAATTGATCAATTTTAGTGATTATATTAAGGTTAGTGCCTGTGCTAATCAATCTAAAGAAAAAGGAAATCCAATGCAAAAATGAGTTTACCTGATAATGAGTACCAAACTGAAAACATTCAATTTCTGCCTTTCCCATTCTCTTGTTTTTATATTTAGGTCATCTTGCCCGACTTTGATGTGCAAGATTTCTGCTCAAATTTTAGCAAGTTTTGATTGAAGCAAAATTTTTTTTTAACTCAACAATAGTGAAAGTGGTTGTGAGCCAACTGAGTCTGTTTCTTCTGTTCTCTTTCAGTGCACTGTGAGGTCAGTGAATGGAATCCTTGGAGTCCATGCACGAAGAAGGGAAAAACATGTGGCTTCAAAAGAGGAACTGAAACACGGGTCCGAGAAATAATGCAGCATCCTTCAGCAAAGGGTAACCTGTGTCCCCCCACAAATGAGACAAGAAAGTGTACAGTGCAAAGGAAGAAGTGTCAGAAGGGAGAACGAGGTACAATCATAATAACAAAATGTGCTTGTTTGAATCCTCATAATCTGTTGCACTTTTCATTTTGTTTCTTAGGAAACATTTGGCATTATCTCTCATGCCTAATATCCTAAAATGTGTACCAAACAAGAACGTTGCTTATAAATTACAGAATATAGATGTGGTAATTCCAAAATATGGAGCCTGATGTCAGAACTTTAAACTACTATAGAAGTGTGGTAATTGAACTTTGATGAACTGCGTTGTATTGTAAGCATTTAGGGCATTATCTTTAATATAATCTGCTTTCCTAGTACTTAGAAAATTTTTGGGAAGTCTCATAAATACAAAGTCTAATGACTTTTGGTATAAGAACAAGACAAAGAAACACTGCCATCAAACATTCCTTTCCTCACTGCCTGCAAACCAAAGTAGGGAAATTTAGTGGTAAGCTTTTGTAGCTAAGCATATATATATAAAATATATAATATTATATATTATATATAATTATATATTATATATTATTTTATATTATATAATATGTAAATAAAATAAATATATTATATATATTAATATATAATGTATTATGTATTATATACAAGCATATAATGTATATAATATATAATATATGCTTAGCTACAAAAGCTTATATATATATATATATATATATAAAATTAATTAAAGACAGAATATCATTCTGTCATCCAGGCTGTATTACAGTGGTGTCATCATAGTTCACTGCAACCTCAAACTCCCAGGCTCAAGCAATTATCCCACCTCAGCTTCTCAAAATGCTGGGATTATAAGCGTGAGCCACCATACCTGGTCAGTACAGTTAATACTGACTTTATTTTGAATAAAATGATCAAGGCCACATTTTATGAATATAGCAAAATCATTAAAGATACTTGTCTCCAGATTTCTTTTCATATCACACTAACTTTATAGACCAGATTACAGAACCTATTCCATCAGTATTAACTATTAGAATTTGCTATGAAATCAACAAGGAGAAATATACCATTTAATAATATGATCCATTAGGGTGAATAAACTTCCAGCTAGAAGACCCTCAGTTGCCGATCTTTAAAATATCATTTTTCTATCTTTCTCATTAACATCTTTAGCACCACTTCCTACAAATAATACGTTGTGTAGTTTTATGTAACTATTGGCAGTTATCTGGTGAGTCTATAAATGATCTTCTCAATTAATTCCAAAGGGGTTTGATTGCCTCTGTAGTTGACCTTTCTTAGCTTATTTCTCCATAGTTGACGTTTATTAGGCTATTTCATTCATTTACTAGCTTATTTCATTCATGTATTCATTCAACCTGGTTTTATTATATTCTTACTTTATGGCTATGCACAGTACTAGGGCCTAAGGATTCACAACTGAATGGCATACTGTCTCTCTATTGTGAAGGTACACCGTGAAAGGTTGAGATGTTTGAACAGATAATCACAACATCATAGAGTAAGGGAGATTATAGACATGTGAACTAGTTTAAAGGGAACACGGAAGAGGACACTGCAAACTTGAACATTGCTTATACAAGAGAGAATTTGGGTCACCTGTACATTGCAAAGAAACATCCATTATGCCAAAAGAATTGGCCCTCACCAAAAGCTATAAAACCTGCTTCTGCCATTCTAATCAAGTAGTTAATGTGAAAAAATTCTTGAAGACATGGGCTATTTAAAGAGAACTTCAAACTTTTGTAAATTTGTAGGAGGTTTTGATTAAAATTTAGTTTAAGGAATGAAAGCTGGCTAGTGAAAAAGCCTTTTGGCATTTGTTACCAATTAATTTAAAACATCTTAGATTTTAAAAGTTGGATTTGGAAGTCAAATATTTCATCATTCTACTTGTTGGTATGCTCCCATTGCCATACATTTACTTATGTTTACTAAATTTCTTTAAAATTTAATGACTTACAGGTAGGTGGTCTTTGCTCATATCATTCTTTTCACAAAGATTGTATATTATTAATCAGTATTCAGTATGCATTCCTTTTAAAATATAAGTGAAGAAAGTTATCCAATAGCAGAATTAAATCACAATTCTAATTACATTTTACTACTTTTACTTGAGAATGTGATCTTTCAATAGAGTATATTTTAGTAGCACTTGACTTAAACATTAACATTGAAAATGTCAGCTGTTAAAACTGGCATTTATCTCATCTAGAAAAAGATAAAATAAATAATACCACAAGAAGTTTGAAACAGTAACCTGTGACATAAGATTTTGCTCAAAACTGTCTTTCTGGTTTGTTTTCTTCCCCTCTGAGGATACAGTGACATTTTACATTTACAAAGAGAAGTTTATACAGCTAGAAAAATTTAGGTGTTTTATTTTTTCAAATTTTATAAAATATAGACTAACAAGTGGCAAATACGAATCATATTTACAATTTACTTTCCAGATTTAGTCCTACTTTTATTTTTCTTCATTTATTTTTCAAGGTGTTTATCAAATACTTTTTTTAAGTAGCCTAGAAACTTAAGGTAGGAAGAAAATCACTTCTCTCTTTGTTGTTTATCTCTCTAATCCTCCAGTTTTCTTAACTTCTCTTAAGGTTTAGTTAGCCAGTATCCTATTTGAACACAAACCAGATAGAAAAGTAATAATGACCTCTGGACATCCCACCCTATCCTCTCTATCAAGCATCATATCAAAATAATAACATTATCCAGGGTCTTCATTTAGGCTCTACTATATATTTATATATTATGTATAATATATAATAAAAATATCTTGACAATTACTCGTCTTGAATTTATAACCTAAAGGATAAGATCCCCACATATACATAGAGAGAAGCATATCATCAGAGCAAATTTAGTAGAGGACTTTATCTTTATATTTTTCTATATAAGTTGACATTTCTTATTTTAAGTAGAGTAAGCATTAGAAACATTTAATCAACTTCAAAGATAAACACCATAAGTGGTATGGTACAGACATGACTTCCCCTCACACTTAGGATAGCTATTATTTGAGTTGCTCCCAGATGCTTATAGATTAAAAAAATCAGAAGATTCTTTTAGGTTCATAGCTTGAGCATTTCTAGATGAGCATACTAAAAGATAAAGCTTTTCTTATAAAATTAAAGCTTGAATTTAAAGTTAGGTCTGTGATCCCTGCCTAAGAGGTTAACAATAGACAGAGGTAGATAACTCATATTTGGAAAAGGTAGGAAGCATGTGTTCAGGATTTTTTCTGCTCCATTGAAATTGCCAACGGCAAGATCTCCAGGGAAGAATGATAAGATCCAGAAATGACTTTTCAAAATGTACACAAATAAGAAGTTGAATAGAAGAAAATAGTTTGTAGGAACAGAGTGGATTCATCTAGTTGGGAGATGCTTTTCAAATATGTATGTGTTGCAAAATCTTACACACATTTTTTCTTCACTACCATTTTCTCATGCTTAGAATAAGTTAACCCGAGGAGATAAATTTAATTGTTGTATCCTTACATTTTAATTATCTCATGTATTTGTTTACAGTATTTCAGATTATTCCCCTTTACTTGACATGCTACCTTTTAATCAGCCGAATTTCTCCATCAATTACTAACTTTAGTAAGAGGTTATTACCAATAGAATTCTTTCTAGCTTGAACTTAATTGAATTATATATTTGAAATATCAAAAATATAGATTTTAAGAGATTATACAGACTAGTATATAAACTATTATCACATGTGTATTGAAACATCATATTTAAGTAGAAGTAAACAAGGAGAAAATGCATTTCCAGTGATTGCCAGATTTTATTTATTGACTTTTTGGACATACAGTGTGTAACCATCTCAGATAAGGAAAACTGAAACAGCTCAGGAAGACGTGTGTACACCTGCACTTGATGTAAAAAGGTAGTTTTGTGTATGTGGTGGTGGAAGCAGAGTCAACAAACACATTTTTCATTCATTTGTAACTTCCTCTAATTAACTAAAGAGAATTTCCTATAGATGGTTTTTAAGGCAACACACCAAGAATAAAAGAAATTTTGTTCTTTGGTTAATTTTATGAAAAAGATTCTTATTAGTCACGTTAGTGTAAGATCTTGGGATAGGAAGGAGAGAGAAGAGCACGTTGCTGGAGGAAGTGAGGTGGAGATCTACCTTCCTGGTATAAAGATAAGCTAGCATTCATTCCACCAGAGAAACAGAAAAGGAACCCTTTAAAATAGAAAGAAATAAAATGTTTAGGGACACTCCACGGAAGAAACAAATGTGGGAATCATTGTATTATTGTACTATTTGTGTATACTCTAGGTTGCCTTACATACTTTCTCAAAATTAAGTATAATAAAAGTCTACCAGGCATTACATAAAGGAAATGTCTTATGTGTTAACTTATAAAGTGTTATGAATCATGCCCTCTAATACCAATATTATAAATACATATTATGTTTATTGTGAGTACTATATTTAAATTACAATAAGATCAGTTTTTAAAAATCTAAGCCAAAATGGCAGTGAGTCTGTTGTGTTTCCTCTGCTGTCCTTTAGTTTATGCCTTAAAAAATAACTACTCCACTGCTGTATCATTGAGTTCTATGGAAAGGATTTATTATATTAAATATTAATTCAGATTTAAAACAAGATATTTAGCTAAGATTCCCAGTACAATTCATCAAATCCATATAGATGGATTTATTAGCTCAAAATTGTGGATGCCAACTGGCTTTGAGTATTTATTTCATGTCCTCTCCCTACTTTAACCTCATGAAGACCAGCTGACCTGAAGACAGTCATCCTGGTTAAGCACTGGGGAGTGGGATCTTTCTACTCTTTCCCTACACCTGTTAGTGCACTAGTCTCTTGACATAGGTCTGAGAAAAAAATTAACAAAGTACAGAGCTGAGATAATAATGGCATTAGAGAATGTGGTTCTCAACTGTGGACAACTTTGCTCCCCAAGACACATTATTATTTGCTAAGAGGACCAAGGATGAGAAATCTTGGTGTAAACTCAATGGTCTCTCTTGTCTCTCTTTTTATCCTTCTTGGGGCCTAGCCATTCCCTACCTAAATGGGTTGCTTGTTCAGATTCTGGGGAGGATCAATTGCTACCAATGAAAACCGTTGGTATATTTTGCTCCCCACTATAAAGGCAAAAATCAATTTTACTCAAAGTTAATATTCTTTTAATTTAAAATATTCCAGAGCCACACAAAAATATTCTACTATATTTAAAACCTCCAAGAAAGGTAGACTATTGTAATAAATAACAAGCCTTGTTTTCAGAGAGATATTCCTTAATGTAAATGAATGTATTCTCCTTTTTTTTTTTTTTTTTTTGAGATGGAGTCTCACTCTGTCGTTCAGGCTGGAGTGCAGTGGCGCGATCTCGACTCACTGCAACCTCCGCCTCCTGAGTTCAAGTGATTCTCCTGTCTCAGCCTCCTGAGAAGCTGGGATTACAGGCACATGCTGCCATGCCTGCCTAATTTTTTGTATTTTAGTAAACCCGGGGTTTCACTGTGTTGGTCAGGCTGGTCTTGAACCCCTGAACTCAACCCCTGAACTTTAATTAGATGCAAATTAAGCAGCACATTATGCAGAAATTTCTAGGAAAAGGGTGGTAACTTCTAGGTCGTTGAGTTGTTGCTATGAAAAGGGGTGGTAATTTCTGGGTGTTGCCATGGCAATGGCAAACTGACATGGCACATTGGTGGGTATGTCTTTTAGAAAGGTGCTTCCACCCCATGCCTGTTTTAATTAGTCCTCAGTTTGGTCTGGTGTCTGAACTCCACCTCCAGAGTCAAGTCTCACCTCATGAGTCAAGCCCTACCTCCTACCTCACTACTAATCTTTAAAATCTCTCATAAAAACATGTTTGGTCTTCAGATGCTCTTTAACCATGGTCACATATGACCTATTATTTGTTTTTATATGATTTTTTTTTCTCTTTAGCTATATTACTCAATCCTTATTCCTTTTTTTTTCTTTCCCACCACCTCCAATTTAATCGCTGAAACATCACATCACCTTGTAAATTCAGTGGACAAGTATCAGAATGTATTATCCATATAGGTGAAAAAATTTTATAACCTCAGTGACAGGCCCCAATCTCTTATTGTTTCCTCTGCCATTGACATTATAATAGCAGGATCTTTGTGAAGATTCTTTGTTGCCTAGGTTTTTGGGTTTAAGACTGAACTGACAGGCTTTATATGCACAGCTGACTCGCCTGTGTCATAATGAAGCAGCAGAATCACAGCCAACACCTGGATCAATGTAGAAAAAAAATGAAATAACAGTTATTAAGTTTCTTGCCTCTAACACATTTTACATCCTATTATATGTTCTTAAACTTCTCAACATTAAAGAAAAAGCTCTGCAGAAAATAAAAAGCCTTTAGTTCATAACTTGCAATCCTTGATATATCAGTTTTTAGAACTCAACCAGCAGTTACAATTCAGACCAAGTTTGCTCCATACCATTTTTGTAGGCTCCCTGAGATTTTGGGGATTTTATTAACAGTGGTCAAAAATCATGGTGGACATTATTCGTGGTGGGAAATACTTAATTGTTATTATTATCCATGTAATTCCTTCATTCCTATGATAGCATAAAAATTATTTGTAGGCTTTTCTGCTAATTGGTGTGTACCTCAGCATTCCTATTCTAAAACAGACTTTGTAATAAATGATCCTTGAAAATGTCCATATTCTCTGAGATTTCACTTAGTGATATTTATAAATATCTAGTGCTTTGTGACCCATTGGTGAGTGTGACATAACACACAGTGGTCAGATTATTGAATAGAGTGTTAGCATTCTTCAGCTCCTAAGCAAACAATGATCTTGCCATTGTTTAGATCAGCTGCATGAGGATTGTTTCAGCTAGCTTTTGCTGCATAACAAATAACCTCAAAACATAGAGGCTTAAAACAACAACCACTTAACAATTTGTGGCTGGGCAATTAAGGCTGAAACCTATTGGGCAATTTTGATCTTGGCTGGGCTCCATCACATTGTTGGATGGCTGGAGAATGAGGAAATTGCCATGTTTCTATTATCATCAAGATGGCAGGAGGTCCTACAGCCTTCCAAAGTAGAAAAAGTGAAGTCATTCCTCTTGAGGCTAGGCACAGAACCTGCCATAGTTTTTACTTCCACCACATTCTGTCAGCCTATACTAGTTATAAGCCTATTCCTGATTCAAGAGTTGAAGAAACAGATTTTATCTCTTGGCAGGAAAAAGTGCAAACTTACTTTGCAGGGTGGCATGCATACATAGGGTGGGAGAGGAGAATTATAGCCGTTTTTGCAATCTACCCTAGAGGTCTTTCTCTTGTTTGTAGTTAGATTAGTGTGATTGCTCATTCATTTAACAATCTCTTACTGTCTGAAATGCAGTAAGAGATTTGTATTTCCTTTGTAAATTTCCTTCCTTCCTTTGTAAAAACAGTCAACTGTTGATGCAGGACATGTTGCGTTGGATATTATTTCTATTGTACTTTCTAATTTGTAAAGGGCAGAATAGGAAGAACAAATAAAATGTGAGGCCAAGATACCTTCATACGCTCAACAAATATTTATTAAACTTCCACCACATGCTGGGCACTCGTAGGTGCTGAGGATAAAGCAGTACACAAAAAAAGACAAAATTCTTTTCATCATAGATCTTATATTCTAAATGGTTTATATCAGTCCATATGGTAATGACCATAGAGGATCAGCCCTTTCGTAAGCATATACCCTTGTTAACAGTTTTCACCTTTGTGATTTGTACCTCCAGTAGCTACTGTCTTCATTAGATTTTCCTAACACATTACAAAGACATTTGTTAATGCTGGCAAAAATGAAATTTCTCTGCTTACATTTCATTTTGGTCTCAATGTTAATACATCTATTTTTTCTGTGACCACCATGTTGATGTGCTAATATGCTTTTGTAAGATGGCTAAGTAGGGTTAAAGGTACAGCTTGTGGTTGTGGAACAAGGCTGAGTTAACCGGCCCTTTGGAGAAATGACCCCAAGACCTTGGCTTCCTTTACAGCCTGTTCTAGCCAGCTGAGATCCCTGCCAATTAGGAGGGTTCCCTAGAGAGAGACTCGGAGAGCATCAGCATAAATTTAAATTCTGGACCCCCAAATATAGTTTCCAAAAGAAGCTTCTTGTCCTTTGCTAATTGCAAAGTAAACATTTCTCCAGCAAAAAGACACTCCCTCCTTTCATGCTCCTGTTCTCCTTCCCATCTCCTTAATAGAGTCTCTCCTTAAAACTGCTAGTGTTGCCGAAACCTCTTTGGCATAGGAGACACCCCACATTTGAAGGCACAAAGAATTATTCTTTCCATAGATCATTATCTTGCTTTTTATCTTCTCCAGCAACTTCTTCATAGAAGCATTACAGACTAACTTTGTAGATGTCATAGTCTGCAGAAAGGAGTAGATGCCTTATCCTTGGGCCTCTCAAGAGATGTGACTAAGTAGGCTATCATTAGCATGACAAAATGGATAGGAATGGAAAATTCTTCAAAACCTCTTAATCCACTTTTTCTCACTCTCTTCTACATGCCCTTCTCTTTCTATTTAATGTCCTACTCAGTTCCTTACCTTTCATTTAAAGCATCCCGTTTCTCACGTCCCAAATCAGAAATACCTTTCTAAAATTTTTCTGTTTTTCAGTTTCTGTAAAAAAAATATTTACATGACATACTTATTACTTTAATAGCAAAACAATATATTAGCATGTATCTCTCAATGATAGTCCTTTTTTCACCAAGCTCACTGTTCTGCCATTCTGCAGGACATTTTAATTGAAAATGACAGATCTCAAATTATCTTAGGCAAGAAGAAAATTATTGGCTTAACCACAGACTGCACTAAGTCCTCAAACAGTATCACTGGGTCCATCGCCTTCTGCTCTCACCCTTTCTCACCATTTCAGCTCACATTGCCTTCATTCCTCATTGTTTGTTGGCCTTATTCTCCTCTGCTGCAGAGTCTTTCTCCTTTTGGGAGGAAAACTGGCTCCCGGCAGCTCCAAGTCTATATATCCACATTGCTCCAAATAAAAAAGGATAGTGCTCTTACTCTCCCTTTCAGTATCCCTGCACCCAATCTCATGAAAGGATTCCAGTGGACCCTGCTTTGAATCACTGTGGCAGAGGAATTAGGGTCCTGAGATTGGTCTGTCTAAGTAAAATGCCAGCAGTTGAAGCCAGGGTCAAGTGAACCATTTTGATTGCTGCCTCTGTTTAGAAACAAGGGTACTGACAAAAACACAACAGATGTAAATCATCCCCCATCTCTCCCCACCAAACAAGAAACAAAATTTACCAAATCTAGAAACGTATGTTCTTCTACAAGATAATCCCTTTTCAATACTGGTTTTGAAAATAATTTTAAGTGAGGAAGAGTAACCAAAGTTTTTTTCCATCTATTTCAGACTAAACACACATTCAGGATAATGTTAAGAATATTTCAATTTAACTATTTTTTTCTAGTTTCTCTGCATTTGCTAGAAACTTTTTTATGGAAGTAAACTGCTTTAAATGAATAGAAAAAATAATCTACTATGCATATGAATGGTTTCTGGATTTGAATTGTGCAGGCTTAAGTAAAGACATGTCCATGTCCATTTCTAGTTGCTGAGGGTTCTTTGTGAAATGCACCAGTGTGGGCAATGACCTTTTACTTGATTATGCACAAGGCCACTGAAACGTTAAAATTAACTCTAACCTAATTACTGAACTCCGGTGTTTATACTGTGTATACACCACCAGGTCATAGCTCTAGCCTCTGTGAGCCCCAGCTGCCATAATTGAGAAATATGTCTTGCAAATGGTTGTTTTGTTTACTTGTTGTTTCTGCTGGAAGAGCTTGCTTTTCCCATTTTTGCAAAGAATCAGATGTAGGGAAGAGTTTCTGAGTACAGTTTAATTACATTTTACATCTCAACGCAAAACATGTACATCTGTAAATGAGACATTCCTTTTACTTTTGCATTACATAAAATGTAATATCTGAAGGCACAATGCCACTTACTATTCACTTTTTTGAGTAAAGCACATTTTAGGTAATATCAATATACTAAATTCACATGCAGAAAGGATGAATAGTTGCTAATTCCAAAAATAAAAGATATAGAAAATATGTGCATACTTAGGATCATGAGTTAATATCTAATTAATTAAAACTCATGAACAAAAATTATTGTCTTAATTGACAGAAATAAGAACCTAGGTTTTCATAATGTAATTAGTAGTTTTCATAATGTAACTAATTGGATGGCTAATTATTTTTTATGGAACATGTAAATATGATAGTAAAATATTTCTCACAGTAATAAATACAATTGTAAACATCTGCTATGCTGCTTATCTGTTTTCCAGCCAACAGCAAAATCATGAAGGGATTTTGTTTTATTTCAAATTTGGTCTGTTTCAACAGCTAAGATACAGTTACTAAAGTATTTCATTGGCAAACCTGTAGTGGCTTCACATTTGTCTAGTTTGTCAGGGTCTTGAAATGTATAAGACAAGGGAGTTTTTAAATTTAATTTCTCTCCATCAGCCCCTTGGCTTTCTACCATGTTTTATACCCTTCCTTCTACCTTGTCACCCTTTCCTTCCATCTCAGCAGATTTCTTCAATTTTAATTAAAATTATCTGCTCATAGAATAACTGTTTCTTCTCATGTTCATGATCTTCAAAAGCTAATGTTTAATATTTGCAATGTCAACCTAGTGAACTAAAAAAGTACTGAAATAATTTAAAAACCAGAACCATCTCAGTTAAGCTACGGGTTTGTTATTTGTTTTATTCATTTCTTTGTTTGGTTTACCCAAAAGCTATATTTTTAATATCAATAATGATGTGCATGCTCTTGTGAAAACACAAAAGCCTAAAAGATACATAAATAAAAAATTAATAATCTCACTCTCCCTCAGTCCAGTCCTTCCCCTGAGAAAAGCAATATGAAAGTGGGCTGTATATTATTCCACATTAATCTTCTGTTTATAGAAATAGACATATAAAAGTTCCATAGAGAATGAATATATTATTTTCTTTATAAAATGCTTTTGACTTTTCTTTCTATGTCTACAGAAAAAGAGTAAATTGTGCACCTTGGTAGCTCAATAGTGTGTGTGTTTACTGTGTCATTTTAAAATTTGCATATCATGGACGTCTTTCTAATTCATCTTTTTAATAGCTGCAGAATGTTACATTCTATGAATATCACATAATGTGTTCAACCATTCTGCCATTGATGGATAGTAAAATTGTTTCCCATTTTTTTGCTCTTCTTACTATAACAAAAATCTCTATCATGTTAATGAACTGATGCATTCACTTTCTATCAGAGGAAAAGGAGGTGATGCATCATGGAATTTAGAACACAGGCTTTGGAACCATGTGGTTTCAAATTTCATTTGTGCTTTTAACTAGCTCTATGACTTTCAGCAAATTCTTTAGCCTTTATATATCCCATTTTTCCCCATCTGTACAATGGGATAATAACAGTAACTATGTTACAAAATTGTAGGGAGAAGTTATGAGTATGTATAAAACTCTCAGACTTGTGCCTGGCGCAGAGTAAGCACTCAATAATCCTGAGATCTAATATTAAATGTAGTCCCAAACATTGGATGGATAAACCAAAGGATGTGAATATTGTAAATATTAATATATTCTGCCAGATTATTTTTCAAAAAGGTGTTTCTCTTCACATGTGGAATACATCAAAAATACCTGTTTCCTCATATCCTGACTCTAACTGTATGTTATTAGTCCTTTAAACTCTTGCAAATATGATAGATTGACAGATGCTATTCTATTGTTTTATTGACATTTTCCTATTTATAAGGCTAATCTCATGTTTAGAGGCTATTCGAATTTCCACAGGATGCCTATTTGTATGTTTTGTCCAATTTTCTGATTTTTCTATTGAGCAAAACACCACTTAATAGGAATTGTTTGTATATTAGAGATTAACCTTTTGTCATGTGCATAGCAAATATTTTTCTTATTCTAGTATTTATTTGACTATAATGAGTTTTGATTATCTTTTTTTATATTACTGATATACTTGAGTTAGTTTATTTTTTTCCCTCAACTTTCATTTTAAGTTCCGGGGTACATGTGCAGGATGTGCAGGTTTGTTACATAGGCAAACGTGTGCCAGGGTGGTTTGCTGCACAGATCGTCCCGTCACCTAGGTATTAAGCCCAGCATCCATTAATTATTCTTCCTGATGCTCTCCCTCCCCTCGGCCACAACAGGTGCCAGTGTATGTTGTTTTCCCTCATGTGTCCATGCGTTCTCATTGTTCAGCTCCCATTTGTAAGTGAGAGCATGCAGTGTTTTGTTTTCTGGTCCTGTGTTAGTTTGCTGAGGATAACAGCTTCCAGCTCCATTCATAAAGGGCATGATCTGATTCCTTTTTATGGCTGCATAATATTCCATGGTGTATACGTGCCACATTTTCTTTATCCAGTCTATCATTGATCACCATTTGGGTTGATTCCATGTCTTTGCTATTGTGAATAGTGCTGCAGTAAACATATGAATGCATGTATCTTTACAGTAGAATGATTTATATTCCTTTGGGTATATACCCAGTAATGGGATTACTGGGTCAAATGGTATTTCTGCCTTCAGATCTTTGAGGAATTGCCAACTTACTTCCACAATGGTTAAACTAATTTACACTCCCACTAACCATGTAAAAGTGTGTCTATTTCTCCACAACCTCACCAGCATCTGTTTTTGGTGGTTTTTTTAATCTGCTTTCTGTTTTTTGTTTTGTTTTTTGTTTTACTTTGTTTTGTTTTTGTAATTACAACTTCTCCTTCTCGGATGCTGATTTTAATAAAATTTGTTAGGTACTGCAATCTTACATGTGTGGGTATTAATTCACAAGCATTACAGGTGACAGTTGTGTGCCAGACATAGTGCTAGGCACACTAGTGTAAATATTTTTGCGTGTACTTATGATCATAGGTATATGTAAGCTATCTTGCCCTGTATCCCTCATAAACTCTTCTGCCTCTGCTGATGTAATTAAGAAGACTTATGTTAGAACTAATTCTAGATTTCCTCCTCTTGTGTAGGAATAACAAAACATAAAACATCAGAATAAGTCAAAAGTTACCTTGGAGATGCATACTTCATCATTCTTTTTTGCAATAAGCAACACCAAAGAATTGAAGTGATTTTGCCTAAGTGACCTTATCACAGGGCTGGTAATGACAGAAAACAAATGTGAATCCTAGTGCATTATGGTTTCCACTGTATCATAAGGCTTTATGGACACAATGTTTTGCGTAGTATTGTTTACCATGAACTGTGTTGACGTTGTTAATTCAATTTGTGGAGCTATCCAGATATTTAATAATGTATCACCATACTAACTGCTTACTTGCTTCTTTTGTTTTTTTAATCACTTCTTAGAGCCTTATTTTTAAGCACCAAGGGGAGCCACTTAACTTGAGCCACTCTCCCCTGCTGCAATGGAAAACAGTCTCCCTTCAATAAAATGGCTGTTCTAGCAGTTTGTTCTCGCTGAACGATGTGGCTTGGGGCCAGGTATTCTGTAAAGCAGATTTGAGCATTAGACTAAGAGAGTTATCCTCAGAAAGGTGGTCTGAGAAGGGCTGCCAAAAAAGTTGAGGCTTAAAAAAATGTAAGTAGGAGTAGTAAGAGGAGACTTTTAGTGGGCAACTTTTAGCGGGCATTTGACTGGGTCTTGCTTTCCTCCTGGTAATAGATTGCTTGGCTATCTACAGATGCTTACAAGATGAGAAAATTGAAGTAGAAAAGAATTGTTTTAAAATGGATTTTAGCAACAAAACCCTCTGCTCGGTTAAAATTGTATGTAGAGCCCAATTTATACAATGATAAAAAATAGATGTGCCTTATTATTTGCAAAGATGTGGGAAAAGTTGGAACTATCTTGCACTATTGATGGGAATGTAAAATAGTACAGTCAGCCACTATGAAAACAGTATGTTGGTTTCTCACACACACACACACACACACACACACACACGTATAAATACCATATAATTCAGCAATTTCATTTGAGTATACACCCAAATGAATTGAAAATAGAATCTCAAAGAGATAGTTTTACACCCATGTTCATAGCAGCATTATTTACAATAGCTAAAAGTTGGGATGGCAGCAACTAAAGTGTTCATTGATGGATGAATAGATTAAACAAACTGTGATATAGACAGACAATGAGATACTATTGTCTTTAAGAAGGAAGAAAATTCTAACTCATGCCACAGCATAGATAAACCTTAAAGACCTTATACTAAGTAACTTAAACCAGTTACAAAATGGCAAATACTATATGATTTTACTTATATGAAGTACCTAAAGTAGCAAGTTAATAGAATAAAAAGTAGAATGATAGTTGCCAGGAGGTAGGGAAGGTTAAATGGCGAGTGATTGTTTAATGAATACAGACTTCAAATTTTGCAAGATGAAAAGAGTTCTGAAGATGGATGATGGTGATGGATATACAACAGTGTGAATTTACTTAATGCCATTGAACTGTACACTTAAACATGGTTAAGATGGTTATGTGTTTTTTACCCCAATTTAAAATAAAATAAAAACAAACTAAGTGCTTCTATTGAAGTAAGGTCTAGCCAACCAGTAGCTCTGTACCAAAGTACTGTATTTTAAAACTGTTGAACAAGATGTTTTCTAAAACCTCTTTTACATTTTTCAGTTTTAATCATGGTAAAATCTGTATTTGACATTCCTGTGGACTTTTTGCTACAGAAAAGCACAAAACGTTTTTCTTAGGAAAATTGCTTGACTCTCAGAAGGAAAAATATATCAGTGTGCTCCCCAAGGCATTGTGCAGAGGTTATATCAGATGTCTTGGAGTCCATTATGCTGTAGCTGTAGGATGTTTGTAGGGTAGCATGCAATAAGTAGCTTTGAGAAGTGGCTCTCTAATGATATACTAACATGCTGGGCTTTGTATTTCTTTCTTTCTAGGTTTTCTCCTCAAGTTCATATTCATTTATACCAACTTATAGAAACATCCCTTCCACATTTGTCATTATGACTATAGTAAAACTATGGAAAACAAAGATAAAACTGTAACATTCCTAAAACATATACTGTATACATAGCCTTTAACTTGTAATGTTTAACACATGACACTGTATCACTTTAAACAATATATCTTCCTCTTATTTGTCCCATCGAATCCTCTCACATAATGTTTTTTTTTCATGATTTCTGTCACTTATCCTTCCTCTTTTTGATTGCTAAATACATAATCTAAAACATTAGATTGCAAACTAGCCTCAAATTGGCTAGAAGCTTGGGAGAACTACTCTGAAAACTTTTTATATAAACTCTAAGGAAGTCAAATTTAGAAAAATCTCAGCTGCTGGACTTGGATCCCATTAACCACTGGTCATTTATAATTAATATTAATAAATGGCAGATGACACATGTATATTGCTTAACTAAAAATGTGTGTGTAATAGCAAATTTTTAAAAAGTTAGTTAAGACCTTAAGGACTTGAATATATGTATCGGAATAATGAAAAGAACAAAACTATCAACATGTGGTCTAGTATCTTCTAACTACAAGCACCTAAAATTACAGAGGAAACAGAAGTATTTTTAACTCATCATATTAAACATTGTATTGCCATGAACCTCTATACCTTTACACTAAAATGCCTGTTTCACAAGCCTATATTAATCTGGACAATACACTTATGAATCATTATAGATATACAGATATAAATATATATATACACTCACACACATTCACACATACACACACCTAACTGTTAATCTCCTAGTCTAAAACCAAATTGTTTAATATATATGGTTTTTATAATCAGAAAGAAAAAAATAATATCCAAATGCTGAGTTGCTTTAAATCCTAATGTTCCATAGAGCCCCACTAAATAATATAACAGCTGGCAGGGATTTATTCATCTCTAGACACTAAGGAGTTAGGGCACAGTAGTTCAGTTACCTGGTTATATAATTCTGGGAATCCATATGATGATTAAAATGGAAATGAGACCTCCAGTTATTGCAATGAAGGTAAAATGGTTTTCCAGGGGAATTACACTTGGACTCAAAATTACCTTACGAAAAGCCAAAAGACAGAAAAATTCATTCGCTTGGGTTATATGTCCTTATTCAACCATATCCATTACCATAAGCATATTAACATAAATTCTTTCCGATTGGACTGTGATTTAATAATATTATTTGTTTAATTGTTGGCAATTTTACATAATTATCTCACTTAATTCTTTAAATATTCCAGGCATATATGCATTGTTGTTATCGACTGCATTTTAAAGATGAGGAAATTGAGACTTTGAGTGTGAGTAGTGAATTTCACACTCAAAGACCAGGACTCACACCCAGACCTAATTCTGAGTCCACTGATATTTCAAGTATTTGAGGCTGATGAAAAGAGTATATAACTACCTTAAGAATGCCAGTTAATAAGTAAGTTAGTCAGTACTAGAACCTAAATCTTTTGTCAATCTGATCTTTCCATTCTATCTTTTTCAACACTTTTGCCCCATGTTCAAGATGATCATTTATTTCTAATCATCTGCTCTTTTCTAACTATACTTATCACACATGAGGCTTTGCATCAACCATTATTTCTTGTTAATGATACTATCATTGTTGAAAAAATTGAAAACCTCTTTTTACCACCAAATCTGCTTCATCTTTCTGTTGACAACCATTTTGTTATTCAAAGAACAAACTTAACTAGCAAATAGGCCAGTGATTTCCTCTTTTGCTTCAAATCATACTGATGTTTTAAAGCCAAATAGTTTTCACAAATTGCCAACATCATATTCAAATGCACTAAATGGTTATGTTAGTGCTATTATGTTGTCTAAACAAAGGCGCTGTCAGTCAGTAGAGTCAGTGACCTTCAGGTTGTTAAGTGGTTTGTGCAATTTTCACAGGATTATGTTTAAATATAAATCCTAATAAAGAATCTCATTTAGCTTTTTAAAAGGTTGTGAAAATTAATACCTAATCCAATTTCTATAAAATAATATTGAAGACACAAAATAAAATTTACTAAAAAATGTATTTCAAAGGTTTGCATTTTCTACTCAACTTATGAAGCATATATGGTCTCCTAAATGCTGTGTGAATCATTGGACATGTCAGACATGAAGCAAACTCCCCACCCCAGGAGGCTTCTCAGCCCGAAGCAAGCTGAAAGTGAGTAGAGTTCCAAGAGGGAATACAACATGCATGTGCGAGGAAAGCAGATGCAGCATGACTTTGGGTTTCTTCTTTGGAAACACACAACTATATGGAAAAATACATGCTGCTCCCAATTGCTGTAGACATCTGCTGATGGCATGTGAGATTGAGACTAGGGAATGGTGCAGAATTTCTCCTAGAGTATTGTAGTTTAACTTTGGAAGCAAGGGGAACTGGCTGTTAACAGAATACGAGTTTCATTCTGACATGAAAATTGCACAACATGTTCATTCATGTGGACACACAGTGGGCGTTAAGCTATTTCTTTATAAAAGCATGGGAGCATTGATTTCCTTTAGCAGTATTGTTTGATATCTATTTACAGTTTAGTTGGGTTGTCAAACATCAATCCACTTCTAATAGCATGTGTATTTGTGATACCTTGCTCGTGGCAAAGGCTTAAAAATTCAAAGAGGCTTTTAAATACTTTTTAGGCATGAAATTGAGCTCACAAAATAAGCTCGATGGCAAATTAGTCAGGAACACATGGATATGTTTCGTTTAAATTGTATACAGATTTTCAGAATTAAGATGTGGTAAAACCTACTAGCAGTCTATTAAGCCTTCTAAGGCACTTGCAACAGAACTAGAGCTTTGCAAATTCAAGGTTGGCCTAATAGAAAAAAGAACAAATTTGTGTTTGCATTTTAGCATTGCTTGAGTATTTTTACAAACAGTTCATTTAGCATAATTTTGAAATGGTGGATATGTTCTTATCAGAGGACTAAGAAGTATGAAGAGAGCAAAAGAAACATGTTTAAAAAATCAGGATAATAGATCCATTAAGAAACTGCTTCTGTGCTAGCTTTTATTTTGTTACCATTGTCCTATGGGAAGATAGGACTATCTTTTCGAGTTGAACTCGAAAGTTATAGGACTATAACTTTTCTAGTTGATCTCCTTGCTACCGTATTCTCTAGAGCCACTAGAATGGAACTAGTCATCCTCTGTTTCCTCAAAGATTTAAGTATGTGTATGATACACAGTTATTTATCACTTCAATAATAAAATAATTGAAAGTAATTGTATGGAGTCATAGAATTGAACATAGTCACCAACACATTTTTTTTTAAGTATTTTATGGTCTATTTGTGTTTCTTTTCAGTGATATAAGAGATTTACATTTGAATTACCCAAGAAAGTTTTCTTAGGGCAGTTCAAAGGGAAGTCTAACAGAAACAGTGTTTAGGTTGATGGAGAAGCTTTCTACCCTTGGGCAGCTTTCTCTTAAACTTTACGCTAACCATGGAATCATATGAGTGAGGAACTCTTAGACTTCTTTCATTTATATCCCTGACTTTAAGCATAGATGCATGAAGATCTATTTGATTTTAAGACTTCTTAGTGAATAGGTTTTCAACCTTACTTCAGTGCAAAAAGGTGATTTTCCCCAGCTCATCAAAAGCTTTCAATGCTCATTCTCTTTACATTCAATAATTCATGTGTCTCCTAATGTATACATTTTCCCAAATTAAAAGTAATTTATTCGTTTATATTTTTTCCTATATTTGCTCTTTTGTCTGTCTTAAGTTTGCCCATTTGTTTTATTTTGGTTATTTGTCTAACTTAGAAAATAGAATTCCCTTATTGAATACAAAGTCCCAAAGCATATTATTCAGTTTGTGTTTCAATATTCAGCATCTTGCTGAATAGGTGACTACTTCAGTTATCAAATAATACTACCTGGCCATATCGATTTTGTTCATATATGAGCATAAATTACTGGAAAACTTTATACTTTTGGATCATTTAAGTACATCTAAAAATCATAGTTTGTTTCAATATTAATTTGCTTAAGAAATCCTTTTTCTCCCTGTCAATATTGCAGTGGCCAATTTTAGCACAGTTGTGGCAGTTCCTTCCAACTCATAAATTACAAATTGATGGGCTTAAACTGATTTTGTTATTACTCAGCCTCATTTCTGCATCTTAAGACTAGTCTCATTCTGAAAACTAGTAAGAAGAGATCTAATATCAAACCTGGATATTCTTAAAGCCTGGATTCTTTAAGACTGGTTCACCAAATTTTATAATACCAGTAAATGTGGACACATTATATTGAATAAGGGTATTGTTAGCCAGATTCTCTCTAAGATTTATCTTAAATTGTTTTCTTATAAGAATTGTGTATTTATCATTTTAAAAATCACTATTATTTTAAAACACTTAGAAAGTGACTATCTGAAAATGATATGCCTTTGGATGCTCTGTAATGTTAAACAGACCCAGACATAAAGACAAAAGTAAATTCCAGGGTATTTTTGTAGCTGTGGAATCACCATAAAAAGGGGTTTTTGACCCTAATGTTACTGTAACATTGTCTTCAGCATTTCATATTTAATTACAGTAGATTACTCACCAATATAATAAATATAGATTTATGAGATACTTTAATGTTCTAAAACAAATGAAAACCACCCAAGAGGAACCTCACCAAACCTGAGGTTGTCCAGATTGCATTGACTAAGATTAAGTGAAAGATCATTCATCTCCAGAGGTCACGCAATTAATCTCAGAGTGGGAGTTAAAGCAATGACTAAGCAGAAAAGGAAGCCGAATACAAGTTTGTAACAAAAGGAGCTGGGGCTCCAACATCAAGGAACTTGTTATTTCCTTTTTATTTTATTTATTTATTATTTTTTTGAATAGACCTAAAACACTCATTCCTTACTACTGGTTTCTTTGGGTCCTAAAATTCTGCTTGGTTGGGTCAGCTATTTTCCATGACTATTTTTGATATGGTCAAACAAATACAAAGAATAAGTTTTAAAAAAACTACAATGGGTTTTCATGTCTAGGGAAACATGACACTTCATTTTATTGTCAACAGAAAGTAATTTAGGATGAATGTATAATAATCTAGTATTTGGACAATGAAAAAGTTCAAGATACACTTTAAGGAAGACATATTATACTCCAGAGTTTTATAATTATTTAAATTCAAATAAAAGTCAAAATTATCTTCATTTAACTCAGGTGACACCTGTTGCAAAATATTGAGGAAAATGTTTGGCTGTCATTCCGTGAAGCTGAATCTTTATACCCTTGCTTGATAATCTCTACAATTCCCTGTGGCAGCAAATTTTTATTTCTGGTAAACACAACTTGTTTTTTCCTTCACCTTATTGAGATTCCTAAACCTTGTATTTTAAACCAAGAATAATTTTGAACTTGATCGTTCCTTACTGCGAGGACTTCCTCCAACGAGGGTGAATTTTGACCCGTGGTTAGCCTGCCTTTGGAGTTTATGATGTGAAGTGCCACAGCTGATGGCCCATGAAAGAGACTGTTAAGTCTATTGCTCACATCAATATTCCCGCTGGATATTTTGCTCATTCCTTGGGAATTTCAAAGAATAACAAATAACCAACAAATCATCAAAAACTATAACATGTTACCCAATTCTTGGGCATAAGCCAATGAGACTAAAATCTGCTTAAGTATCACAAATGTGAATTCCCAGCATTTCAAGCTTGTAAACTGTATCCAACACTCACCAACGTCTATTCCATTTCTTAGTTGCACAGAAGGGGCACATTCATCTGGTAACTGTCAACAATGAGGTTCCTTCCTTCTTGAGCCCAGCTGGCCATACAAGCAGGCAGGAGTAGCATGTTTGACCCTGAGACAGCAGAGGGTATTGCCCTGTCGGGAAGACAACAGGGATGCAATGTAATCTGGAATCAATTTGAGATTAGCACCAGATGCTCCATGCCAGTAATAAGCACTGATCATAAGACTTAATTTCGTATGCTATTAGAATTAATGATAAGGTATGAGCATAGTATGTCCCAAACTATAGGAATGAATAAGAGCAGAGTGAAAAACTGAAATGGCAAAACAAGAACAGAAGTTTTAAAATAGGTAAATTGAAAATATTTGTTTACTTTATTTTTATAGCTTGAGTCAAAGAGTTGGAAGACAAAGGAGAAAAGGACTTGCAAGAAGCCAATTTTTTTTTTTATGAATGTGTTTGTTTTTCCTCAAAAGTCAGTTGTAAATGCTCTTCAGGGAAGGGAGTCAGAGAGAGCCAAATAGTGGTCTTAGAGTTTTGTTTGTGTTATTATAGTTTTCTTGTTGTTTTTGCAAAAAGAGAATGGTGAAATAACTTTTGTCACGTTAGTATTAGTCTCATAATCAATGGAACACAGTCCTTTTTTGAGTCTTTCCTGAAATAGAAATGAGCATGAAATGAGCCTGGTATTCATTGAATATTAATAGATACATTTAGCTGCATGTCTAGGACTGTGCAGTATATGAGAAATCCTTTACTAGTCATCTTGAATTTAAATATTGAAATGTTAACTAATTATATTTCACTTTATAGATTTTTAAATAGTAGATTATATATTATAGTTGGCAAGGGGAAACATTGTATTATTTGGCTGGACGACAGCTAATGATATCACAGACAACTCCTTGAGATTCTCTAAGTTCTACACATAAGCTTCTTAATTACTAAACTCATAACAGAATACGTGTCTTGAAGCAGCTTTAACATGCTTCCTATTTTTTATATAATTGTAAAAATAAAAGACAGGTTAAAATGATTAATATTGGCGCAAAATGGTTTTAGGTATCCCTTCAAAGATTTTCCTAAAATGATTTGTAATCTGGCAAATAAAAATATTCTCCACGCCATAAATATGCTCAGTAATAAATCAGAAGTAGAATATCAATTTCTATGGATTTTCAAAGAAAAACATGCTGGGTTAAGGGCCAACATGATGTAACATTTATTGCCTTGTATTACATTATACACACACACACACACAGGCTTTGTGAACTTTTATAAATGGAATCAATAAAAATATGTGTATATAAAAATATTGTAGATATCAACTATACTTTTATATTATACTTCAAAAATATGAAAATATTGCTGAGAAAGGACCATCTGTGTCTTCTCACATATAACTTTTCTTGATTATTTCTAGGAAAGCAGACTAAACATACGGTTCTGACATAATACAGCATCCCATTTTGATTTCTGGTTAGCTCAGAAGGCTTTACCCGCCGAAAGAAGTCTCTGAAAAGGGCAAAACTCTCTGACCTCAGGAGGTTCTGATAGGAAGAACTGAAGCAGTGAACACCCAGAGGAGAGAAAACATGGGAATAAATTCCCCAAAGTTCTGTAACCACAGTGATGTGGGTGCATGGAGGAAGACATAATTTCATTCTTAAAGAATGTCCCTGTTTTCACATTCTTTCATTTGTCTTAAAGTTGATTTTGCAGATGATAGAGTCCAGATGAATTTCTGCTTAATAGGAATTCTTGTTCACAAATGGACAGAAAAATATGCCAACCATATATGTAAAAATAAAGTGGAGAATACCCAAGCATAACATAATACCTTTCTCATAATTCAACTAATAATCTATCAGATCATGTTTAGGAAAAGGAAATTTTTGCTTCTTCTAAGAATTAGATTGAGAGTAGAGAATTAGATTGAGAGTAGAGGTATAAACTTGTAATAAAAATTATAATGTGGTTTCCTTCTGATGCTCCACTTCCTTTGATTTATTAGTTTGCATCTTATCAATAAATTCAATTTATCCAAAATGGTGGAACAACGTTTTCAGAAAGGAAATTAAAGCTTTTATGTACTAATATTCTGTGTAGACAAATTAGATGCTGCTCATAACCAAAATGATCTCATTTAGTTTACCCTAGAACATTTGAATAGTGGGATGAGGGTCTTTAAAACTGTTTTGGACATATGTGATCTGAAATATAAGAAAACCATTACAAAGTTGGGTTTGTATTAGTTTTCTGTTGCTGTCATCACAAATTACCAAAAACTTAATGTCCTAAACGACACAAATTTATTATCTTACAATTCTGTAGGTGAGAAGGCTGACATAAGTTTTACCATGCTAAAATCAAGGCATCAACAAGGCTGTCTTCCTTTTTGGAGACTCTAGGGTAGAATCCACTTACTTGTCTTTTCCAGGTTTTACAGGCAACTCACAAACCTTGGTTCATGGCCCCTTTCTCCAGCCTCAAAACCTCAAGTGGCAGGTTGAGTCCTTTTCACACAGCATCTCTCTGACACTCTTCTGCCTCTTCTTCCACTTTCCACTTTTAAGGACTCATAATTAAATGGACCAATCTGTATAATTTCAGATAATCTGTGCATCTCAAGGTCAACAGATTCGTTACAAAGATATGCAAATATCTATGAGACTCCTTTGGAAGTTCATAATTTCATGGGAGAGTTGGTTGTAAACAAATAAATGCAAAATTGACAGATATGTCCTCTGGAAATAGAGGAGATAAATTATTATTGGCTCTTAAAGGCCAAGTAGAATTTTCCAGCTAAAGAGAGAGAGAGGAACTTTCCATTGAGAAATAGCATCAATAAAATCACAAAAACAAGAAAGAGCATGATGTGATCAAATTATAGTGAGCTATGTAGTGTGACTGAGCAAAGGCAAATTAGGGAAGGAGGTGCTGCTCAATAACATAACCAAGAGTCAGATTTGGAAGGGCCTTCTGAGCCATGCTGAGAACTTTGGGAGTACAGGCACCGGGCAGATTTAAAAACAAACAAAATCAAACAGGAATAAAAGACCAGCCCTCTGCACTGTAAGAAGGTAACCTGACAGCAAAGTGGAAAATATCTGGAAGAAAACAAACAAACAAACAAACAAAAAACCTGATCTTTGCAAAAATCATTCTAGAGGTTCTAGAGATGACAGAGGTTTGAACTGAATGAGGATAAAGAAGGAATGACACATTTGAGAGATATGCAAGAACTAAGTGGGTTAACGACTTTCACCAAACATCTTAAAGGGATTAAGTGCTCCTCAGATTTTACCCAAACCAGATTAAGGCTGTTCTAATTTTAAAGGTGACTTGACTCACTCAGCTGTTTTATAGTTTCATAGAGACCATTTATTATCATTACTAATGATTTTTATTTTAGGGATTATAATTTTAGAATTCTTTTCATTTTCAACTACTTATATATCATTTGTTTCTCATACCTACCCCAAATAGTGAAAATAGTAGGAATTATTGATTCTATTTTATAAATGAGGCAAACAAAGCACAGAAAGTGCTATACTTAAGGTCACATTGCTGATGAGTAATATAGCCAAGTTTAAAATGCATATTTCCTGATACCTATTTCAGATATTTAAAATTTAATGCCCCACTTTTTTTAAGCACACATTTTAAAAGATGAGGTCCTGAGAGTTTAAGTAATATCCCCCAAGGATAGACAATGACTAAATAGCTTGGCAGAAAATCAAACTTGGATCTTTCTAACTTCAAAGCCCAAGGTCATAGCAGCTATACATTACTACATCCCTCCTCACCTGCTGGAGAAGATCAGGGAAGAATTAATAGAGAAGTAGCCTTGAAAATGTATCTTGAAGGACGTAGGTAGGTAAGGGGGGATCTTCAAGATACTTAACAACTACTACAGTAAAATATATAAATATAGTAACCCATATATAAATGTGTTAAATATATTATCATACATAGATAATACAACTGCTTACCAGGTGTTGTTAGCAGTAGTGCAAATCATTTGTGAGGTTATTCAGTGATGCCTGAAAAGAGTTGCTGATTTTTAGAAATCACCTGGTATTGTTTTCGGTTTGTTAGGGTTGATTCACACGCCCACACCCAGACCCATTCATACTCAAGGAAGGCTTCCTCAGAGACATTTTGTGCTTAACTCCTTAAATCCTCTGCAGTTTAAAAGTTCCAGCAGAGTTTGTAGGATCCAAAAGTGTGCTTGATTAAGGGTGGGCAAGATGTAATGGACAAAAAAGGGATTCACCTTCCTCTCCCCAAATTCTGGCATAACAGATAAACAAGTAAGTCAATCTTACTTCTGCTTTCCTTCAGTATTTTCACTCCCCATTATTTGTAGTCACTCCCTGACTACTACTCTTTCTTCTAAATATTCTCTGGAGATAAGGGAATGGCTTATATACAGTCATTGATCACATATCCCCGTTTCTACCTGTCTCAGTCCATTTTTGTGTTGCTATAACAGAATACCTAAGGCTGAGTAATTCATTCAAAAAAAGAGGTTTATTTGGCTCACAGTTCTGCCAACTGTACAAGAAGCATAGCACTAGTATCTGACTGGTGAGGGCCTCAGGATGCTTCCACTCATGACAGAAGAAAAAAGGGAACTGGCACATGCAGATCATATGACTAGAGGAGAAAAGAGAGAATGTGTGAGACAACAGAGAGAGAGAGAGAGAGAAGGCACCAGGCTCTTTTTAAGAAGCAGCTCTCTGGGAAACTCTCTCATAGGAACTAATATAGAGTGAGAACTCACTCATTACCATGAGAATGGTACCAAGTCATTCATGAGGGACCCACTCCCATGACTCCCAAACACTTCCCATTTGGCCCCACCCCAAACATTTGGGCTCAAATTTTAACATAAGGTTTGCAGGGTCAAATATCTAAACTATAGCATTACCTTAACTAGGTCTTATGGTACACAGGAAGTTTACTTTACTCACAAAATAAAAAATATGGGATATTTCAAGCTCTTTACCCCTTTAAAACTTTTTTTCTATCTATTTCGTCTGGCCTTCTTATTTCCAGGGTCACTTTATTTGATTCTTAAATACTTCAATTAAATGAGAAATATTTATTTTAGAGATTAAGACAGTGTTCTTAGAGATTGAGTAAGACAGTGTTCATTCTTTCAGGAATTGTCACATTTCCTTTAATTTTCAGCTCATTTGCTTAAGCCTTTCCTAAGACTTTCTCTTCCCATTAATTGCATTGCACATAACATCTGCTGTCCTTGTCACACCCTCTTAAATGGAAAGTTTCATCATACTACCCAATGGTCCTTCATTTTGGTGGCATTCCACTGAAAGCAAAATTCAATGGATTACAACAAAAGCCACAGTTATTCGAAACTCAAGGGGAAGTCAGGCTTTTGAGACTGTGTAGTACCACTTCAAAAGAGGATACAAAAGCCCCAAGATCAGGCGAGATGGGCTAGAATCATATTTCATGACTTTAAAGGAAGACTACATTTTCAACTCCACCAAATAAAGCATCATTTATGCTTGCTATAGAAGATAATTAAGGAAGACAAGGCTGTTTTGTCATCTTTCAACTTTTGACAACCATCCCAAGTCCTTTCCTCTCTTCCTCTATTTCTCTTTTATTTGTTCCTCTTCCTGACCACCTCTTTTTCTCCAAACAATCTCAAAAACTTTTTGGTAGGCCACTGTTTCCAGCTCTGGTCTAAGAGATGGACTCTGGTCCACATTCCCAACCTCAGGGAAACTTTGAAGTCTTCAAATCACTAAAACTGTCTTAGAACTCAAATGCTTTCTGGAAACAAGAGAAGAGAATGGAATTCTTCCTAACTTATCTGTTCCAACCTGGACTTCCTAATGCCATTTCTTAAAACAGCTTTAGGGATACTCTAGTTATTCATCATTGACTTGGTCCCAAAGGACCAAACAGGACAAATCAAAATGATATTCCTGAAAACATGATATAGCTCTCTGGAGTTCACTGTAATCTCTTGAAGCTGATATTGGAACAGAAGTAGCTAACTGGCCGAGTACTCCCCAATAAGTGGGACTTATTAAGACAGGTTGTTTGGGACACTGGGTAATCACAGCATGCCTGCATATGACAGAGTAACACCAAAGCATGTCTGTCTATGCCTGTCCTTCTCCAACTTTAACTCAAATTAAGTCATGGTCAAGAAATCAAGAAAAGGGAACAATATTTATCTTGTTCATTTAATTCATTCGACGAATATTTATAGACTCACTACTGTTCTCAGGCTCTTGCCAAAGAGAAAGGTGGAGCTA